TAATAAAGACTGTACGCCCATTGGATATCGCTCGTCGCTCATCGCTCATCGCGTTCAGTCTGAATCCAGCCTTAAGTATTGAAACGTGAGCTGGGGGTCTATTACGGTTCTCGGATTGGGTGAAAATGACGAAAGTGAGCAAATCACCCAATTACGGTTGATCTCACCTCGTGAAAATACGAGATTGTTCGCGTGAGCGGGTTCGACACGAAATTTTGAAGTGAAATGGTGAAAAAGTGAGATGTGTTATAATATAAAGCAAAATGGAGATGATGCTAACAGTGTTTTTGATGCGCCATCGGGAAAGTACGATGCTGAGGATCCGTAGGAGACTACGAGATGCCTCAGATCCATTTTCAACGCCAGAAAACGAATTTACAAGTATTTATAGGCGAGTGACTAAAAATAAACTATTTTAAAAACATAACCCATTGTAATATAAAAAATTTTAAAAATTTTTTATATTTTTCACATATTGTTTTGGAGCAATTCTAAATAATAATGTACACACGAGTCAGTATAACCTATTTTAAGTAAATTTTACATTTCAGCAGATTATCCAGAGAAGCGGTCTGGATGCTTATTGAAGAACTGCGTCCTCTACTGCCTGTTCCAAAAAGACGCCATGCAGTTCCTGTGGAATTACAAGTATGAATTATATGTTACGTACTTGTAATAAACTCTATAAATAAACTCAATCATGTAAACTTTTTATGCTAATTTTATGTTTCAGGTACTATGTGCGTTAAATTTTATAGCGGCTGGATCATACCAAAAGCGAGTTGGTCAAGACTATTTGACTTGTATGAGTCAACCAACAGTGTCCAAGGTTCTTCGCAATGTCGTTAATGCATTAAATGTATTAATGGATCGATGGATCAAGTTTCCTATTGAAGATGACGTTCAACGTATTAAAGAAAGGTAAGATTCATAAATTAATTTTTCTAAAATAAATTTATTTTAAATATAATACAATTTTTTTATTTTACAGTTACTGGAGACATACAGAATTTCCTGGTGTTATCGGAGCTGTTGATGGAACACATATAGCAATTGTTCCACCAAGTGCAGGAAGGGAACATCTGTATATCAACAGGAAGTTATACCATTCATTGAATGTACTTATTGTACGTATAACTTGAATAATATAATTGTGATAATTCTATACTTTAAAAAATATTTAAAATATGTAATTATTAAGAAATTTTTCAATTTACAGGTATCTGATTATGATTATTTACAATCAGTTAAACAGCGTCGTCACGGACTCATCTCTGGTCGAGTCAATCGGTCCTCTTTATGTCAGGCACCATTTAGAGATTTACCGATTGTCAAAATTAGAAGATTGATTTCGATGTTGCGTCGAACTATATATTTTCGATTATGAGTTACTGAAGAAGACCCGAAAAAGGGTCGAAACGTTTATATTGAATAGAAACTGAAGAACTATACTGTGAGAACCGTGGTCTGTTCATTTTGTGGCTCACATTGGCATTCTCTCCTTCCTTTATAATACTGGACCTTGTTAAGATATACAAAGTCAATCGCACAAACTGAAAAAGAAATGCAATGTTTATATGGTTTAATTTGGCAAATGTGGATTTAATGTGGTAATAAATTTAGATTTAATTTAATCAAATATAACTCAAATTTAAATCAAATTAAAGTCAGACCATATAAAATTCTCATAAGATCCAAATGATATTTATATTTGACTTTAATTACATCTTATTTGGTCTTCATGGTTTTTAATTGGGGGGTAATAAAATCCAATAAATTTTAAAAACTGCCCTTTATTTTGGTTTAAAATGTTGGTTTAACATATTATACCTTCTTCAATAAGTAAAACGAACTTAAAATAATAAAATAGTGCTTCTACAAATACTATGAACAAAAAATATAGAAAAAATTTCAAAAGAAAAATGGAAGATCTGTAAAATAAGCAAAAGTTATAAATATAGCGAGTGAGAAACAGCCCTCTTTATCAGTCTACTGCCCCTGGTTCTGTTGTTGTTGCGATAGCGCTCGCTCCCTCTTACGTATTTCAAAGCTCTCTCAAGTTGGCAGGACCAAATCAGCAAAATCGAATGCGACCTATTGGATTTTTTAGTACTTATTTTGTACTAATTTGTACCACCAAAAATAATTTTGTACCCCGTGCCATTTAAGAAAAACTCGTGG